TCTTCCTTCAGTATTTCAGTGTTCATATCCATCTCTGTATTCGTCCACATGCTTAGCGTTGGTTATATTTCATTTCTGATAGTAATGATGTTATTTGACTTCAGTCATGTTTCAAGTTCTTTCCTTATGTCAGCCACATTTCTCATTAACATCAGATTTGTAGATATAGATATCGTTTTTTTTTTTCATTATAGATATTCTGTATAATCTAATCAGTGCGATTCTCAAAGTGTGTGTTTGCTGTCATTGTTCAAATGTTTTTTTTTGTTGTTGTTTTTTTTATTAAACATAGAATACATTAACTCATAGAGGTAACAGCATCGAATAAAATCAAACACAATAACAATCAGCATCAGACCTTAAGGGCATCCACAATACATGTAAGGCACCATTGTTCAAATGTTTGTCAGTGGTTGCTTGAGCTGCAGTAATGAGTGGAGCTGTCATTCTTATTCTGGCGTTAACTCTTGTAACTGTGTGATTTCAGTGTAATGAGATTGAAAGAAAGCTCTGGGCAGCTCAGATTATGGAGCTGGTTCCTGCTCTGCTCCAGCTGTATGCTGTCTGTATGGGCTCATGGAGGACCGCATGGAGAACCAGCTGCTTCAAATCAAGAGCATCCACCAATCATCCGGCTGGACAGGAATATGGTTCAGGATAAAGAGTGAGGAGTTTTTCATGACTTTAAAACTTGTTTTAGAGCCTACGCACATATCCAAAGCATTGCAGCTGTTCATGTGATACGTACTGTATGTCTATAGTGTTTGTTGATTTAGCTTTGATTTGTTTCTAAAATGACCTCTGCACCGGAGCAGCTTGTCCTGATCGCCGGCTGTCTTCCAGCAAATAACATGTCGGGAAAACCTAATCCATCCACAGAACTTTGAAAACATATTTTTAAAATATTACATTTTAAAATAATTTCTCTTTGCCAATTTAATAGCAATTAATAACAAATTTTTTGTTAATTCCAGTTTTTGTAATTATTGGTCAATATGTGTATATATATATTGTGTATTACTGGTCAAAAGGTGATCATTTATATGTTTTAGAAAGAATTTGATAAAAAATGCAGTAAAACAGTAATATTGTGAAATATTATTATAATGTTTATGTAATATTATTATGTAATATATTTATTTAAAATAGTTATTTTCTATTTGAATTAATTTTTAGCATCATTACTCCAGTCTTCAGTGTCACATGATCTTTCAGAAATCATTCAGAAATCACAACATGCTACCATTCAAAAGTTTGGGCTAAGTTTTAACAAAAAGATATTTATTTAGCAAGAATCTTTAAATTAATAAAAAGTGACAGTAAAGACACTTATACTACTGCTACAAAAAAAAAAATCTGTTTCAAATAAATTCTACTCTTTTAAAATCATGTATCATGGTTTCCACAAAAATATTAAGCAGAAAAGCTGTTCAAAATATTGATAATAAAAAAAAAATTAATAATTCTTCTTCTTAGCAATTACTAATAATTGAGCACCAATATTAATTGATAAAAAGTGAGCATCAGTCAGCATATTAGAATGATTTCTGAAGGATCATGTGACACTGAAGACTGGAGTAATGATGCTGAAAATACAGCTTTGATCACAGCGATAAATTACATTTTAAAACATATATTCAAATACAAAACAATTTCAATTGCAAACATATTTCACAACTTTTGAAAAGTAGCGTGTATATATAATGTTTTAAATATTTAAAAATTGGGTATTTCCTGCTGTAAATATTATGGCAAAATAGAAATTAATGGTGCTAGATCAGGGGTGCCCAAACTCGGTCCTGGAGGGCCGGTGTCCTGCAGAGTTTAGCTCCAACTTGCCTCAACACACCTGCTTTTAAGTTTCTAGTATGCCTAGTAAGAGCTTGATTAGCTGGTTCAGGTGTGTTTAATTGGGGTTGGAGCTAAACTCTTCAGGACACTGGCCCTCCAGGACCGAGTTTGGACACCCCTGTGCTAGATTTTTGCACCTCACTAGGGTATATAATGTCTTTCTATATGTATATAAAGGCTGTTGGCAGATTTTCCTATAGATACCTGGTAGAATCACCACTTCTATTGAAAAGTTGGCATGAAAAGAAAATTCACCATATCTACTTTCTAAATGCATATTATAGATCTTGGTGTGAACAATTTATCCATGCATATGTTTTTTTTTTACCTGATTTTTTTAACCAAAATTTCATAACTGGACCTTCCACTGAAAACAACAGAAACATTTCTCCAGTCATTTAGTCTTAATAAACCCGCCTCTGCAGGTTCATCTGACCCACATCTCCACATCCAACCATAAAACCGTTGGACAGAACCAAGTCCCTGCCCTACATAATTTCTTTCATTAATCTGATACATTTGGATGTTTGTCACAATACAAAAGAAAAAATCTGTCGCTACTTGGATCACAGTTCACAGTTCTGTAGTACACAGTAAGGTCACAGTTATTGACTGATGCCGATCATCTCAAAGTGACTAATCCATTTGTCTGTAATTGAACCTTTCTTCTGTTCTGTTGTAGCCACATCATGGAGCATTTAGAAGGGGTGATTGAACAGCCAGAGTCGGACATGACGCCTCAAGAGCTGCAGCTTCACTATTTCAAGATGCACGACTACGATGGCAACAATCTGCTGGATGGACTCGAGCTCGCCACTGCCATTACTCACGTTCATAGAGAGGTGAGTGCTCGAATTTTGAGCTTGACTTTATACCAGTTTAAAGTTTGGACATACCTACCCATTCTTTATTAATCATTTTATTGTTTTAATAATTCATTAATAATAATTTGATAATAAATAGATTATTTTTTTATTTTATATGAGATATTTAATATCTAATTTAATTTGAATTTTAGCTGGATTTTATAATCTAACCCTAAGTACACTTGTCCAAGCCTCTCCTTCTATCATTTGTCTTTTTTTTTATTTTTTATTCCATTTAATTAAAATTAAGATTGTCACCTGGTTTCCAGGAAGGAGGAGATGATAGCCAGCCAATGAAAGAAGAGGATCTAATCAACCTCATTGATGACGTCCTCCGAGACGATGACAAAAACAATGATGGCTACATCGACTATGCAGAGTTTGCCAGGTCTCTGGAGTGAAAGACGAGAGGAAGAGCCGCTGCCTTACTGTGAATGCAGATTACCTCTGATGTACAAATCTCCAGCACATTCCTTCACGTGCGTGCGATTTCACAGGCGCAGTATATTCATGCTTCAATATAACCTGTATAGATGTCAGACAATGAAGTGGTGAGGGTCATGAAGTGACATGAGATGTTTTGTACGTATGCCATCAGTGTAACATGTATTCATTGTTGCACTCACATCTGCATATGTCTCGTCACAATGGACCTTAATGTATAAACTGCCAAATTTATCCACTGTAAACAAGCATAAATTGTTATTATTGAATAAATCCTTTGCAGTGACACTCTCCTGCAAAGCTGATTGTTAAATGAAGCTAAAGTGGAATATAATAATTGCTGCTCTGCTCATGAATGATGGCAAACATATGCTCCTTCTGCCTTAAAGGGATTATCACTGTTACTGTCATTACAAAAATACTCATTCAGAATGTTTTGAAGTGACAGAATACTTTATTGGTTTATCTTGATTTACATATAAATGTGCAATACGCGTGTTTGGAGATGTACATCTTAATGAATCCCTCTGTAGCCCTAATGTTGATTTGGATGATGTTATAAACAAGTGCCAGAATATTAGAAATATATTTGATGGTGTTGTGCATTTCTAAAACAGGAATAGGAATTGGATCCTCCGAAACATCATGGTGCATTGATTTTTAGCTTGCTATTAGAGCCTGAATGAAGACAAAATGTCATATAGGTCAATGACATGATGCTCATTTTGTCTGAATTTATTAATTTATTAGGACATTTTAAGTGTAATTTATCCATATAGTGACCTTAATACATTTCTCTTTCATTGTTTTTATTTTTTAAATAAAAAAAATACATTTTTAGGGCATCATTTTAAAATATATTTATTTCTAATAATATTTCTCAATAAATGAGACTTCTTTAAAAAACATTGAAAAATCCAAATAATTCCAAACTTTCATCATGATGTTTTTATTTTCATTTTATTACATTTTTTAGGGTATAAAGCAAAAAAAAAAAAAAAGGGTGATACAACTATCTTGATATCATAATGAAGAAAAAAAGCTTCATTAAAATAATACAATTTTTCAGAAGAAAGTGGTTTGGCATAATCTTTGTTATTCTTTGGGGGGAAAAAATTCTCAAAATTATATGTAACCAACAAGAATACAGAGAGCAGCACATTTTTACGAACTTGGCACATATTGTTTTCAACAAAATTTTTAAAAGATTGTCACTGACCCATGTCTGTTCATTTTACATACATAAAATGGGAAGAAGAACAACATTTGATGTAAACCGCGTAATTTATTTCGACCAAATCTGTAAATTGTTATCGATGACTGAAAGGAAATGTAATTCAAATGTTCATTGGGTGTACTGTACATTTCATTCTGAGATCTGAGAATGACATAATAGTTCATAATAGTGCTCATTTAAAGTCTACAGTAGCCTATGTTCAGTGTGAACTGAACCTAGTTTAATTGTCACAGTGCAGTGTTGACAAAGGAAATCAGCATAAATGTAATAATTTTTTGTCTAAGTAAATATAGCAATAATTGAGAGAATATGTTCTGTGTGATTGCAACTAATAAAGACAGAAAATGTCAATCTTTCTTTGTCATTGAAAAACGTTATCCTTTCGACTGTACCTGCTTGTATAAAATGGAAAATACAAGCGTTTACAGCACTTCCTCTAGTTCCAGTGGCTAGTGGTTTCCAGTGCCGCCACTGAGAGCACTGATGTGGTGGCTGGTCCGATGGTGCGCATTTGATTGTACCAGTCATCAGGCTGTCTGGTGGCTTGAGATGGAGCAGGGCCGGAGGAGCAGAAGAAATGACTGCTGGAGGACGGGTGGGGTGGGTATCTTCCAGGGGGCAGCACTGAGGAGAATCGGGGGATGTGCGGCAGTGAATGAGGACACTGGTACTGCTGGCCCATGGCGGAGGAAGACACACACATGCTGCTGAAGAGAGGACCTCGTCCTGGCATCATGCCCACCGGCAGCACTTTGTGAGAGATACGATCCTGCTTCCGCTGCTTGGCACGCCGGTTCTGAAACCATACCTGCAGCGAGCGAAAGGCCGTAAGATACAGTAATCAGACAAGGGAGTCAAGGTTTGGCTGCTTAATATGGAAAGTTTCCAATGGCGCTTTTCCACTGCATGGTACGGCTCGGTACGGTTCACTTTTGGGGGGTTTTCCACTGGGTACAGTACCTGGTACCTGGTACTTTTTTTTAGTACCACCTCGGTAAGTAATAAGCAAAGTAATTTGTGTGGTACAGCCAATTAGAACATACTGAATGCGAGAATATTGAAAGTTTTCAGATTCACAAAAAATGTTTACCAATAAAATTCTTCATAACTGCTATTTTCTTCATATTTTCTTAAGACTTAAGAGTATTCAGTATTTTTTATTCTCGAACATTTCTAAATAATGTTCTTTTTTTTCTTCTTCTTAAGACTGTGTTAAAGACAAAACGTAATTAAACAAAATAATTTGAATTGCTAAAACAAATTGTAAATGAAAAAGAAAAATCATCATAAATAACCTCTTAAAAGTTAGGATAACCTCCAACTTGTCTTAAATCAGTAAAAAAAGAAAGAAAGATGTTTCGTGAATTTATTAGGTTGTTTCACTTATTAAGCATTACAACATAACACTAGCAACATAGGCCTATATATATATTACTAAAAAAATTATGGAATATGTTTTACTAGAACATATTATTTTAGTCTTTCTACTTCAAAATTTCATGCTTAATTCAATGTGTTACTTACCGATACTTTGTCATTATTTGTAAAAATGTACTTGTAATTTCTGAATTTGTTTTCATCGTTTTTTTTTAAGTGTAAATCAACTCAACTAGGAATCTCCTTTTTAATTGTATTGTTAATTGCGTAATTCCAAAGCCAAGAAAATAACTACAATAATAATATTTTAAGAAAAATACTATTTTTAAAAAATAAAATATTTAAACATTTTAGAAATTTTCAGAAATTCCACTTAGCAACATCTTACGATTTTCTAAAGAATTTATCTCAAGAAATGTCAATAGTGATGTGAGAAATGCACCAAAGCGACTGAGAAAAACTGCAACTTATTTCTTAAGAAGATTTTCGTGAATCTATCCACAAAATTTGGTCAAATGTAGCAAGCATTATGAAGCAATGCTATCGCTCAATTCTAGTCACTGCTCGGTTTCCATTCACATATTTTGCTGTGTCACTGTAAATCGCTATCAGTGTGAACAATCCGAACACCCCTGGTTAGTGTAACTTAAACCTGCATGGGAACATTTAATTCAGCTGCATGTAACTGTATCAGTTCAACAGGTTAATTAGCATGTTAGCAAACAGGTGAGTTACCTGTATGCGAGCCTCGTTGAGTTTGGTGGCTCTCGCGAGCTCCTCTCTGTAGTAGATATCAGGATAGTGGTTCTGTCTGAAAGCTAACTCCAGCTTTTCCAGCTGCTCATTGCTGAAGTTAGTGCGGTGTCTCCTGCGGGATGGTGAAGGGTACGGTCTCGCTCGTCCTCGGCTGCCCCGGACCCTCTCAGATGTCCCAGAATCTTTTCTTGAATGATTTTGAACATCTGCATCCAATAAGGTGAAATTCAAAGAGGTGAATTCATTATGAGAAGACCTCTTTGTCACAAACTGAAAGAGTCTTGACTCAGGTCTCTCTCTCTAGTTACAAGTAATTTCCTATTGACAGTGAGAGTTTCATCAACCACTGACACCTCTGAGATGTTGGATTTGTAGGTACACATCTCTCAAATGATGTTCCCTGAAGACGGAGGATTTAAAAGCCTTAGTGCTTCCAAACAAACGTCCAGGAACTCAAAAGACAGCAGGCTTTGCCACCTAAACTCAATATCGTGAGAGAGAGGCATGCCAGGGCCCTGAGGATTACTCTCAGCTTAGGCAAACAATGGCCAAAAAAAGTCACTAATTTGTCAAATTGTAGGACTCTTGGTTTCCAGGTCCTATTCACAACATTAGGGTAAAGAGAGTTCATGAAACCTACCTCAGATTGGATTTTTGAATGTCATACTGTGCAGTGTTATTTTTGTATCACTCATATACTGTTATAATATAACGTAGACTATATATATATATATGTTTATATATTATAGTTTATAGTTTTAGTATTTTTTTTTGTGTTTTAGATGTATTTTATGTCAATATAGGTTTTTTATTTATTAAGTTTTAGTTTTTATTTTATTTAGTTGTAATTAGTTTTTTTATTACTTAAACTAATAACTTAACCTCATTTCATTTCAGTTTCTTGCCAAAACAACATTTCTCATTTTCATTTGTATAAATTTTATTTTATTTCAGTTAATGTTTATTTTATTGCAAGTAATATATCTATATATATAGAGAGAGAGAGAGAGAGAGAGAGAGAGAGAGATAGATAGATAGATAGATAGATATCTTAATCCCTCTATTTCACCTTTTCTAATTTAAGATTTTCAAAACAGCTTATATTTAATTTTCAGCATTACCATTTTTGAAAATTGCCATTGCAGTATGATATAATTCTTGTGATGCTCCTCATTTGTAAGCTGCTTTGGATAAAAGCATCTGCTAAATGACTGAACTGTAAATATTTTGTATCAGTATTTCAAATGCAATATTCTTACCTGCACTTGAGCTAACCGTGACCTCAGAGTAATTTTCAGAGAACTGTTGCTGAGGTTTGTCTGTGTCCATTTCAAACTCTCTCTGGTCTGCAGGCAGGATTCCGGTTTGACCTCCGTCCTAACCGAACTCTGCTTTTTCACCGCTATCTAGTGTGACATCATAGAGCAGTCACACCTCTCACCCAACTGCTCATTGTGATGCTGAAGCCCACAGTAACATGTACCTGTTACTGTCAGCATGAATTGTAAAATAAAACTGTCATTTATTTAGTACTGTTGACATAATACCGGCAAGTATTTGTGAGTAAAAACGTTCCTAATACATCTGGGTCTCAGTGGTGCAGTGACAATTTGAATAATAATATTGGAATGTTGGAATATTGGACTTTGAAATCTGAGATGAAAATTGTAATTGACTATTTTCACCACCAGAGGGAGAGTAAACAAAAGAAATAGACACAAGAGGAAACGTCCTCTGGATCTCATGTGAGCACAAAAGCAATACAAGCAAACTAGTATTTAATTTTAAACAATAAATATTGAATTATATTTGGGATCTGAGACCATAGCATATTTTGATTACTTCATGCTTTGAACATGTTATGTCATCATCACATATTTTTGACAAAAATAAAAGTGATTAAAATAAAAGTTTAGTCCACATAGCAGCATATTCTGATTAAAGGATATAATCAGAATAATCAGGAATAGTTCACCCCAAAAAACATGCTGAAAATGTACTCACCCTCAAGCCATTCAAGATGTGGATGAGTTTGTTTTTTCATCAGAACATATTTGGAAAAATTTAGCATTACATCACTTGCTTATCATCCTCTGCAGTGAATGGGTGCTGTCAGAATGTTTCTCATAAACACGCAGCTTTTCACTTGTTGTTAACTGATGGACTGGAGTCGTGTGTTATTACATTATTTTAAATGAGTCTATCCCCCAAGATTACTGTTATAAACACGAGCCGCGTCCAAAAGGTAAAGGGGGAGGTGTTGCTACAATTTATAGTAATATTTTCAGTATTTCTCAGAAGTCTGGTTTCAAGTATAATTCATTTGAAGTAATGGTGCTTCATATACTGTAACATTATCCGGAGAAACAAGTGCTAACGATAAATCCCCTGTGACGTTTGTACTGGCTAGTGCTTCATATAACATAATCTAGAGAAATAAGTGTTAATGACAGATCCCATGTGATATTTATATTGGCTACTGTATACAGGCCACCAGGGCACCATACAGACTTTATCAAAGAATTTGCTGATTTTCTATCCGAGTTAGTGCTGGCTGCAGATGAAGTCTTAATTATTGGTGATTTTAATATCCATGTTGATAATGAACTCCATTGGGGTTAGACAACACGTGTCAGGGCCTACTCAATGTCGTTCTTTAGATTAAATACTGTCACATGGAATTGATGTTAATGGCGTTGAAATTCTGCAGCAGAGTGATGATATCTCGGATCATTATCTAGTCTCGTGTGTACTCCTTATAGCTAAAGCTGCAAATTCAACTCCTTGTTACAAATATGGTACAACCATCACTTCTACCACAAAAGACTGCTTTGTAAATAATCTTCCTGACTTGTCTCAATATCCAATAGCTCAGAAAAACTTGATGGTGTAACAGAAACTATTGACACTCTCTCTTTTCTAAGACTTTAAACACGGTCGCTCCTTTACGCTTAAAGAAGATTAAGGAAAACTGTCCGAAACCGTGATATAAGGAGCACACTCCAGCCCTAAAGAGAGCAGCCCAGAGAATGGAACGCAGCTGGAAGAAAACAAAACTAGAGGTATTTCATATTGCATGGCGGGAAAGTACTTCTACTTACGGAAAAGCTCTAAAAACTGCTAGATCTACTTTCTTTTCACAACCCCAGGCATTTATTCAATACAGTGGCTAAATTAACGAAAAATAAAGCATCAACAGACGCAGACATTTCCCAACAGCACAGTAGTAATGACTTTATGAACTTGTTTACATTTAATAGTGTCGGCCCAAGATCGACACTATTAAAGATAAAATTCTAACCATGCAGCCATCAGCCACAGTATCGCATCAGATGCACTATAGATCCACTGAGGAATAATTCCACTCATTCTCTGCTATAGGACAGGAAGAATTGTATAAACTTGTCAAATCATCAAAACCTACAACATGTATGTTAGACCATATTCCATCTAAGCTACTAAAAGAGGTGCTTCCAGAAGTCATAGATCCTCTTCTGAATATTATTAATTTGTCAATGTCATTAGGATATGTCCCTAACACCTTCAAATTGGCTGTTATTAAGCCTCTCATTAAAAAAAAAACACAACTTGATCCTAGAGAATTAATTAATTACAGACCAACCTCCTTTTCTGTCAAAAATACTAGAAAAGGCAGTATCCTATCAGCTATGTTCCTTCTTAGAGATTTTTAGAGGACTTCCAGTCAGGATTTAGACCGTATCATAGTACTGAGGCTGCTCTTATCAGAGTTACAAATGACCTGCTCTTATCATCCGATCATGGTTGTATTTCTGTATTAGTGCTACTGGATCTTAGCGCTGCATTTGACACTATCAACTATGTTGATTCTTTTGAGTAGACTACAAAATTATGTTGGCATTAGTGGAATTCCATTGTCATGGTTCAAATTTTACTTATCTGACCATCATCAATTCATAGCAGTGATCATATCGATCACAAGTATAGTATGGAGTGCCACAAGGCTCAGTACTAGGACCATGGCTTTTCATACTTTACATGTTACCCTTGGGAGATATCATCAAGAAACATGGTGTTAGTTTTCACTGTTATGCTGATGATACTCAGCTCTATATTTCTTCGCGGCCCAACGGAACTATAACGGAATGCATAGTTGATATAAAAAAACTGGATGACTAGTAATTTCCTACTCTTAAATTCTGAAAAAAAAATTATTGGACGAAAAACCTCTGCATGTAATAGCCTAAATCACTGTCTAACATTTGATGGCTGCTCTGTTAATTCTTTGTCATCAGTTAGGAACCTAGGGGTGCTAATTGATAGCAACCATGCATTTGTAGCATTTGTAAAACCGCATTTTTGTGTCTTAAAAATATATCTAAATTACGACCTATGCTCTCAATGTCAAATGCAGAAACGTTACTTCATGCGTTCATGGCCTCAAGGCTAGATTTTTGTAATGATTTATTGGGTGGTTGCTCTGCACACTTTATGAACAAACTCCAAAATGCAGCAGCTAGAATTCTTACTAGAACCAGGAAGTACTACCATATTAGCCCGGTTCTGTCAACCCTGCACTGGCTCCCTATAGTTTTTATCAGCTGTTTGGACTCTCATTCTGACCATCTATCTACTTTTCTCGAAAAGCTATGTTTCTCTAAAAAGTATGTTTCTGCATGAAAATACATATTCACACAAATTCACCACGTTTGGCAAAATATAAAATAGTTTTGAATTGCCATAAGAATGTGATCCAAAATACAGATTTTCTTCTTTTTAATTAAACATTTAATCAGACTATTTGTTTGTCAAGCATGAATAATCGGATTAGTTCTGCAAGACCAGACTGAAGAGCTCTGGCAGATGGGATAAAAGTCAGTCAGGCCTCAGAGTCAGAGACATGGCAAGTATGAGTGTCATCTTTGCCAAGGTGGGTGACTTAGTGTTCCTGAGAGAGTCTACAGTCAACCAGACCCGGACTGCCAGGTTATGCCTGTTCTTTTCCACAGCTGAAACATGATTTATTCAAGAAGAAAATAAAGTGAGTTGCATTCACATGCTATTCACTCACTTTAACATAAAACCTCATAAACCTTAACATAAAGCCTTTTGCTCAGAGATTGCTGAGGTGATGATGGCTGAATATAGACACACCTGTCCTGCAGAGCACCAGCAGATCCTACTCAAGGCAGGGCCGTGCACAGACCTTTTGAGGGGCATGTGCTGAAACTGAAAAAGGGCACCTCCCCCCCTTGAAATGAAATAACACAAAATAATAGTCTCAAAAGCTTTCGATTTATTCACTTTTAATAACAACCATAATATATATATATATATA